TAGTCCCTGTTTCATCTTTAAATATCACATTTGCTAAATAAGTAGTCGGGCCGGCCCGGTGGCACACTGCTACAGTGCGCCGCTTGGCGGCGCTCCCACCGAGGGTTCGGATCCCACATACAGACCGGTTCCCGCTCACTGGCTGAGCGAGGTGCGGGCGCAGCACCGAGGGTTATGATCCCGTTGCCGGTCCCGGTCCGGTACGGGCACGACACTGAGGGTTGCGATCCGTTGCCGGACACGAAAAAAGACAAAAAGGGGAAAAATAAATAAATAAATAAATAAGTAGCAAAATTAACTCTGGCATGCTCAACACCCCACCAGAAAGAGGGAAGGAGGAAAGAAGATGGCCTGCCCACGGTGTACTAAGAGAATGCGGGTGTGCTTGGGACCCACAAGTTATTTTCACCGACTGGAAAGAAACCCTTCCCCACTTGTAAGAATTCCTGTGGTCGAGAGGATGCGCTGTGTGGGTAAGTGGCATTCCAGGACGGTGGAGAGCAGCAGCAACAGGAGGATTTCAATAACCAATGGGAGTCAAAAGACAAGTCATGGGGCCGGCCCGGTGGCGCACTGCTACAGTGCGCCGCTTGGGAAGCGCGGCGGCGCTCCCGCCGAGGGTTCGGATCCCACATACAGACCGGCCGCTCACTGGCTGAGCGAGGTGCGGGAGCAACACCGAGGGTTGAGATCCCGTAGCCGGTCCTGGTCCGGTACGGGCGCGACACTGAGGGTTGCGATCCGTTGCCGGTCACGGAAAAAAGACAAAAAGGAAAAAAAAAAAGACAAGTTACCCAGACTAGTGAGAACATGAGGCCAGGGAGCCTCGGCAGCTCATCTGGGTGGTACGCGGGAGTCAAAAATAGCTGTTCCCTGTGCTCGAACCTGCTCCAGGGCTGCTGTGAGCTTCTGGCAGCCAGGAAGCCAGGGCACAGGTAAGATTTAATTCAGCCTGTTATTCATAACTTTCAGCAATTGCTTTGGAAAGAACTGTCCCATGTAGTGCTGAACATACATTAAATGACAAAACCAGCCTCTGGGAAAGCTTGTATTCCATGCTGAGCACATACAAATACTGACAGAACTATTTAAGTGACATCTTTAAAATGGAGGATCCTGTTTCCAAATTAGGCCAGCCGCAGAACTTGCTGGTTCTCCTTCCCTCCCTAGTCAGGAAAAGTGACTTCTAATTTTTTTTAGTATTATTTGACAAAAATTATATTGTTATTGTGACTTGTCAAAGTGTACAACGTGATGATTTGATATGCATATACATTGTGTAATGATTATCATAATCAAATTAATTAACACATCTATCACCATCTATGCTGTACATTAGATCCCTGGAATTTGTTCACCTTATAACTGAAAGTTTGTACCTTTTGATATTTTTAACATCTCCCCATTTCCCCCAACCACCAGCAACCACCCTTCTACTCTCTGTTTCAATGAGTTCAACTTTTTTAGATGCCACATTATAAATGACATTTGTCTTTCTGAGAAGTGACTTCTATATTTATATTTAGGGGCTAAATTGTTAGAAGAAAAATTTAAAACACATAAGCACAGTATTCCATGTCATCCCTGTAAATGAGATTGAGACATGGGCTCAGCAGATAGCCCCATGTTCCAGAGTGTCACAGGGATAGCTAGAAACTAGTCAACAGGACAGGCAGCTGGAAGACAATGGCTGCATCTCCATTGTGGCCTCTCTCGTGGCACACAGGGTGGCAAAATGCAGACAGCCTCATAGCAAGAGGAACAAAAGGAGGGTCCCAGCTGCAAACACTGGGCCAATCCTTGTCATCTGACTTTCCATAAAATGTATGCAGCCTCCGTGCTGTGGTATGGATCACCGTGGCTGAACCGCAAATCACACAACAAACATGTAGGGCATGCCTGGGTGTACAGCATGTCGGATGTAGAGACGCTTGGCATCAAAGAGGTCAGGCAGCTCATGAAGGTGCTTTGTGCCTCGTTTCCTCACCTGTGACATGGAGAAAGAACAATGCCTTCCCTCTGAGCCTCCAATGACTACCGTGTCAATCGTGTGAAGCAATTCATACAAAAAAGCATTAAAGAAAAGTGCCAAGATGTGCCATTTCTGAGGTTTGGGTTTCAAATTCCGAAAGCTGGCTCCTTTCCAGGTATGTCTTGGCACGGAAGCAAGAGCAAGAACCAAGGCAGAGGAAGAAAAAGAAAAAAAAACCCAACAGCACAGATGTCAAACTGCCTCCCTGAAACCTGGGTCCCTGCTATCATCTTTTCAGTAACATTCTCCACTCCAACTCTTCATTGAAAACAAATATACCTTCCAATTATAGTCATCCATCTGTATCCATAGGGAATTGGTTCTAGGACCACCACAAATACCAAAATCCACAGATACTCAAGTCTGATATAAAATGGCATAGTGGGCCGACCCCATGGCTCACTTGGGAGAGTGCGGCGCTGGGAGCGCAGCGGCACTCCCGCTGCGGGTTCGGATCCTACATAGGGATGGCCGGTGCGCTCACTGGCTGAGCGCGGTGCTGGGCGACACCAAGCCAAGGGTTGCGATCACCTTACCGGTCACCAAAAAAAAAAAAAAAAGGCATAGTCTTTGCATATAACCTATGCAATCTGCCCATATACTTTAAATCACTTTGTAATACCTAATACAGTATAAAAAGCTATGTAAATAGTTGTTATACTGCATTGATTTTTTAAAATTTGTATTGTTTGGGCCGGCCCTGTGGCTCACTCAGGTGAGGGTAGCACTGGTAGCGCCGAGGCCGCAGATTCGGATCCTATATTGGGATGGCCGGTGCGCTCACTGGTTGAGCGTGGTGCGGACCACACCGTGCGAAGGGTTGCGATCCCCTTACTGGTCAAAAAATAAAATAAAATAAATTTGTAATGTTTTTTATTGTTGTATCGTTATTTTTGTTTGTTTGTTTGTTTTCCAAATACTTTTCATCTGCTGTTGTTTGAATCCACTTATGTGGAATCCACAGATATGGAGACCAATTATACTGGTACAAACAAAAAAGAAGCAGAGTGACATAATGGTAAATGGCAAGATTCTAAAGTCAGTCTGCAGGGTGTAATTCTAGCTCTACCGGTTGCTAGCTGTGTCCTCCTGGGCCTTAGTTTGCTCATCTCTCAAATGGGAATAATAATGGTACCTAAACTTCATGGTTGTGGCACAGAATAAATGAGATTTCACATATTATACATATATATGGACATAACATATAAAGTGCTTAGCATGTTGTAAGTACTTGCATGTTGGCTATTACTCTCATTTGGGGTTTTTTTTGTTTTTTCTTTTTTTAAATTTATCCTTTTTTTCCACATTTTTTTTATAGGTTATGAATATTCATGGAGTACAAAGCAAATTGTCACCACTTGTGCCTAAGACGTGATGGCCAGATCCATACTGGCAGCATGTCCATTACCACAAATTGTGATTATACCCCAAGACCCCCACCCAATTATCCCCAACCTCCCTTCCCATCCCCCTTTCCCCACTCCACTTTGTATCCCTAAGTATGGTCTCTCCCTCTGCAAGTCCAACACACCACTGTGGTCTTTCTTTCCTTCCTTCTCTCTCTCTTAGCTCCCACTTATGAGTGAGGACATGTGGTATTTTTCCCTCTGTGCTTTGCCTACTTCACTCAACATAAGTTTCTCCAAGCTCATCCATGTTGTTGCAAATGGGAGAATTTCATTCTTTTTTATGGCAGAGTAGTATTACATGGTGTGTGTATGTGTGTGTGTGTATATATATATATATATATATATATATATACACACACACATTTTCCATTTTTCAAAGGAAGACATACAAATGGCCAACAGCTACATGAAAAAATGCCCAACATCACTAGTCATCAGGAAAATGCAAATTAAAACCACATTGAGATATCATCTCACCCCAGTGAGACTGTCTATAATCAAAACGACAAAGAATAACAAATGCTGGCAAGGGTGTGGAGCGAAGGGAATGTTCCTACACTGTTGGTGGGACTGTAAATTAGTACAAGCACTATGGAAAACAGTATGGAAGTTTCTCAAACAACTGCGGATAGATCTTCCATACAATCCAGCAATCCCACTGCTGGGTATATACGCAAAGGAATGGAAATCATCATGTCGAAGGGATACCTGCACTCCCATGTTCACCGCAGCTCTGTTCACAATAGCCAAGATATGGAACCAACCTGAATGTCCACTGATGGACGATTGGATAAGGAAAATGTGGTATATACTCTTGTTTTTAATCTGTCTTGAGGAAGAGAAAGGCAACCAACGAAACGACCAGTATAACAGACGAATTTTTACAATTGTGAAATTGTCCTCTATCTAGACCCCAAACGCTGGAGCCAGAAGGCAGCGCAGATGATCTAGATCAGTGCTTCTCAAACTCTATGGGGTAAAGGACCACTTTTTGTTGGCTTTTTCCCCAGTCCAACCAAGTTGTCGTCCTACCCTGCGTGACTAGCATGCCTCTTGCTCCACGTGCAAGTCTCCACACCAGTTCAATAACATTTATCTCAAATGTTCATCAAGATGTGTTGAACTGGTCCTGCAGCAACGTCAAATTGCTATAGAAGCTTCTAAGTGCTTATTCTCAGCTTCTGTACTTGTCACGGATCCGTAACAGTTTGTGGGCTGTCCGTGAACCACACTTTGAGAGTACTGATCTAGACTGTTCTTCCCCTCGCTCCGCAATGCCATCTTACAGAGCAAGGCACTGCCAGTGAATGGCAGAGCTGGAAGTGTTGAGATGAAAAAAATCCCAGAAAATAGCAGAGAACTCAACCCCAAGTGCACATTAGGAACTCTCAGAAATAATACACAGAAAGAAGCAAAGAGAGGAAAATAATAAGAAAGAAGCAAAGAGAGGAAAAAAATAGTCATGTGGCTCTAGGGACAGGAATTTACTTAGCACCCATGCGGGAGATGACAGCTTTCAGCCCTCAGCAGCTCATCCCTTCCCATGTGGCTTCCCTGACCTTGGGGCGGTCTTCCTTTCTCAGAGCCACAGCTTCCAGTTTGGCTTCGTACTCCGCTTGAACTTGGTCCCTCTTCTTCAATACGCTCTGTGGAAGGCAGAGAGGAGAAGCATGTAACACAGAGTTCATAAAGGGGCCTCCACCCCCCACGCCCCATGCCTCTGCAAATTGTGGCCCAGCCACGTGCTCCTAGGACTCTGGGCCGTGGCTTAGAAGCTGCAGCATGACGCATGTCATGGACTCTGGAAGAAGCAGGGGAAAAGGAGGACAGAAAGGAGAACCATTCCTGGAAATTGAGCTTTCTAGTGTGGGAACTTCAACCAGATGTTGAAAGTGGAAAAATTCCAGGGAAGGGCAAGGTGGGGAATGGTGTCCACCCATTGCCACAATGATGGGAAGACTCTCGGCCTCACCACATGCAGAAAGAACTCAGCTGTGTGGAAATGTGGAGCTTAGCAGGTTATAATGTAGACACTCTCTGAATTCTTAACGTAAAGTCTAAGTCAAGAGAGTTCCTGACTCTTTAATTCATTGCATTGATCCCGGGTGGACTGATTTGCCCATTGACCCATTAGCCACTTATTTGTCCTCTACTCTAGGCCAGGGATGCAAAAAATAAAGACTTACAGTGCCTATCTGAAGGGTCAGTCTAGGGAAGGTGCAGACACAGTAGGAGACTGTATGTGCTACAAGAGCTATGCATGTGCAAGTCCAGATTCCTGGAATGATGCGGCAAGCCTGCCAGAGGGAGTGGTAAACGGGCCCACAAAGAGCCAGCCTGGATGGTACTAGAGGGCAGCAAGCCAGGCCCCAAGGGTACAAAATGTGAGGAGACACTCACTCTTAGGCCCCTGTGATACAAGGTCAGCACCTGGGAGTAGGTGGCTCCTTAAATCTGTGCCCTGGGCTCACCTCCCTGCCTCACCTAGTCTTAGCTCTGCCACCAAGACCCCACCAAGCAAAACAGAAAAACTTGCAGTAGACATTCTAGAAAAGTATATGTTTTCATTAAAGGTTGTTTTGTTTTGTTTTGTTTTGTTTTTCCTTCTTCTTTTAGTAGAGTCACAAGTGGGAAACTAATAGTGATAAGAACATTCTTTCTCACTACCTCGGAAGTCACAAATTGCTATGAAAGTTTCTAATCATGCCCTTCCCCCATAGGAGGCTTCCGGCAGAGGTGAATCGAGTCAGGACAGGAAGGAGCCACCTCTTGGCTAAGCAAGTGGGCACCTTGTGGCCCCGTCAACATGCTAAAAGGTGATGAGTGACTGAATAGTTGAGAGAGCTCTGAAGTCAACATTTTAATGGAATGTGCCAACACTGGCAACCTCAAGTCTCTGCCTGATGTAAGAATTTACTTTGAGAAGTGTTTCACCATGGAAAAAATATGAAGTAAAAATTGCAATAGCTTATTTTTCATTGTTTGCCACTCATCTTTTTCTTAAGTGCTCTAACATTCTGTCCCCACACTCATTAACCTTTGAATAGGAATGTTTAGGGTGCTGTTTAATGGGACTGCCTGCTATGAGGGAAACGTTCTATAATCTGCATTGTCTAACACAGTAGCCACTAGCCCCACATGCCTACTGAGCACTTGAAATGGAGCTAATGTGACTAATAAACTGGGTTCAGACTTTTATTTAACTTTACTAATTTGAATTTTGACTTAAGTAGCCAGATATGGCTATTGGCTACCACACTGGATGACATAAATCTATAAAGAAAAAAAAATCAGAGGCCCTTTCTGGATTTCATAGAGGCCAGAAAATAAATCTACTGGTCTGGCGCCAGCAGTAGTAAAAATCATAATCTCCACCCAAATAAAATAAACACACCATGCTATCCACGGAGATGTGAACATGGTTTCCCAAGGAGCAATGTAACAGCAAGGAAGGGGGCCGACTGGAGTTCTTGTTACTGGTGTGTACTTCCTTCCACAGAATGCCTCACATCTTACTGGAAAAAACACACGTATCCAGACTAGCACTTCTAGGAACAAGGATGAGTTGTTCAGTGTGGCAGCAACCTCACAACCAAAGCTGGCAACGCTCTTAGGATGCCTCGGAATACAGTCAGCACAGTTTGGGGCTTCCTGTCCCTCGTTCTGCTCCAGATCGCTCTGCTGAGGTTGCCAAGATACCTGCAGGGAGAGCTGGGGAGAGAGCTGCATCAACCCCACGCAGCTACAACCGTCCAAACGCACCTCCTCTCCCCACCCTCAGAACAGGCAAGGGAGCCTGTAGATCCAGCCATACACCTCCCTCCAGAAAGCCTGGGCTTTCCCTGGCCCAGAGGAGAGGAAGGGCCTCTATCTCCTCATCCACTGCTCCCCCAGCCTCACCTGGAGCAGCTAGAATGCTGCCCTCTCATGCAGGCTGACCAGAGGATCTGTGCTAACATCCCTGCATCACTGGGCAGCATGAAAGGCACGCAACAACCCTGCAGAGGTGAAAGGGCATTACCCCTATGTTATAGACAAGAAGACTAAAGTACGTGGCGGGACCAGTTCGAGGCCACACCGCTGGCTTGTAGTATAGCAGTGATTCATTCAGACTCCTGCTACATTCCAGCTTACAGTTTCACAGTCTGACTGTGCTCAAATCATGCTAAAGGTTGGGAAATGTGTTCTGAATCAAGACAAAGTATTTAAGACTGCTGTCCTTGGTGGGAGCCCTTTTGCACACTCTGTTGGTGATGGTCTGAGAGGACTGGCCTCCCTCTGCAACCACACAGGTTCTGCTGACAAAAACAGTCAAACCAGCCTGTGTCTGTTAGATGGAGCCCGAGCCTGCCATGGGGTGAAAGGGCCGAGAGACCAGGTCAGGTCTACAGAGAGGTCCCTCCATCACTGAGCGACAAGCAGAAGATACTCATCTGCTGAGCTCCTCACAGAACTCCATTGGGATCTCTGTTTCTACTGCAAATGACAAACCAAAAAGGTGATGTGCATGGAGACACTTTCCTCCTCACACTGTGCGTCCCTCTGCCCTCCTCTATAGAGCTGTCCTCACCCCGCTTCTGCCCTGCCTTAAAGCTCCTTCATCCATTCATCCAGGTGCAGAAAGCAAAACACACAAACCCTCTGCCTTCATGAGGCTTCCGTTCTGGAGGAGAGGCAGACGATAAACAAGTAAAATACATGCCACATAAGGGAGCTCTAGGTGGTAGGAGGAGAAATAGAACAGGAAAGGAGGGAATGAAGTGCCGAGGGTTTAGAGGAGGGAGAAACTGTACCCAGGGTGCCCAGGGAGGGCCGCCCCCCTGGAAGGAGACTTTTAATTAGAGACATGGAATAAATTTCTCTCGGCCACTATTTTTTTTTTCATGTAGAGCACTTCATCATTTCAATCCTAGTAATCTATAACTTCACTACCTTTCTTTTCAAATGAAGAGAGGACAAATGACTCAGTTTCTTTAACAAACAAATTGCAAGGAAAAACAGGAGTTTAAAATATTTAAGAAACATGTCAACCAATCTATGGATTTTATCTGGATTCTGATTTGGGGGAAAAAAACTATAAAAACTGTTTGAGATAACTGGGGAAATTTGAACACTAACTTGATACTTGAACATAATAAGACTTTTTTTTTTTTTTTAGTGTTGATAAGGTGGTTCTTTTTCTTTTTTCAAATAATGCTTGTATCTTAGAGATATGTGCTAAATATTTTTGTATGAAATGATACTTGTATGATGTCTGGGATTTGCTTTAAAATAATCCAGGGAGTGGGATGCGAGCAGGTGGGAGGGAGAATAAGGCGGTCACGAAGCGCGACTGTTGAAGTTGGCTGGGCACATGTGGGTTTGTCAGACTTTCACTCTACTTTGGGATACGTTTGAATTTTTCTGTAACAAAAAGGTTAAGTAATGGAAACATAATATCTGCCATCCAGAATGCTTATAACAAACTAACAGACGCCATTAGGAGGTCTATAATTATGTCATTCGTGAAATATTTATTACAAACAGCCTTTATCCTACAATGACAAAAGTGCCTGGAAGAGTTAGATCCCAGATGCATCCTGTGGTTCGGTTCTCAACATCTAAACTGGATTTTCCCCAAGAAAATACCACAATGGTCAGTATCTACAGGAAATCTCAGCATCCCTTCCTCACCCCCAGAGATCATGTCATTTCTTCCCCTGGAGAGGCTGTGGGCTCACAAACTGTGGGAGGGGGAAGAGGTAGCCCCAAACCAGCCCTGACGTCGTAGGTCAGCAGCTACCAAAAAGCCTCCTCAAGTCTGGAAAGTTTTTAAGCTTCAGATCTTTTTGTAAGAGGGACATTAGGATGCTGGCTGGGAAAGTAGAGATAATGAGCAGAAACAGCTCAGCCACACAGAGCAAACTGCAGAACAGAACGGTCCACATCCTGCTATGCCAAGGGCTGACAACCCAAAAGCCCCAAGAGAAACTTGTGTAGAATAATGGGTGTTCGGTAACAAAGAAAAAAATTTTCTTTGAAATCAAATAAGAGTAAAAATAAAACACCCAACATAGCCCTGTGGCCCATTTTAAGGTGGCCCTGTAGGACAGCATTTTCATGTGGGCAGGAAAATAAGTGACCTGGCCCAGTGGTATCACAATTTCTGATTAAATGATTGAGTTCAGGTTGTCCTTTTCAACGTGATCCTTTTTTCACATTTAATTTCATTAAGATCAAGACCACCTGTGAGTTAAATGTTCTACAGCAATGTTAGTGATATTGAAACCACGTATTTCCCCTTGATTTTAAAAGATATTTGTTACAGAAAAATTGGAAAATAAAGAAAAACATAAACGAGGGGGAAAAGGAAGTCATTTTAATCTCTTTTCTCAGACACAACCAGTGACATATTATGGCGTCACTTCTAGCCTTCTCCCTTGTGTGATTTCTTTGATGCTTCTCATTTCTGTTTTCTCTTCCTGCACTCTCTCCTCTTATTCAGATGTTGCCCCTTATGCTCTGGGTCCTCAAATTTTTGTGTTCTTCTCTCCATTCTCCATCTGTCGTTTTGTTTCACTTAACTTCTTATTCTAACTCTTTTATTGAAATTTTTTCATTCATATCATGATTTTAATTTCCAAGAGCTCTTTATTCTCTGAATTTT